CGCACGCTTCATGAGATGTTGCTGATGCTGCGCACGCTTCATGAGATGTTGCTGATGCTGCGCACGCTTCATGAGATGCCTCTTGATTGATTGATTGAAAATTGATTGACTTTTGGTCAGAAATTGGTATAGGAAGAAATCGGAGACGACAGCTGTTCATTGGCATTCTGTTGCCTGGACAGCGAGTTAACTGCTGTTTGATTATAAACTATTTCTAATCAGCCACATGTCATACAATCAGCCATATGGCTTCTAATCAGCCACATGTCATACAATCAGCCATATGGCTTCTAATCAGCCACATGTCATACAATCAGCCATATGGCTTCTAATCAGCCACCTGTCATACAATCAGCCTTATGGCTTCTAATCAGCCACCTGTCATACAATCAGCCTTATGGCTTCTAATCAGCCACCTGTCATACAATTAGCCATATGGCTTTTAATCAGCCATCTGTCATACAATCAGCCACATGTCCTATAATCAGCCATATGTCCATTGATTAATCATTTGGCTTATAATCAACAAACCATTCGGCTTATAATCAACGATTATAACGATCATCGATTAGGTTGAACTCTTCTTATTTTCTTGGTTTTAACTCTTCTATCCACCCCAGCATTCTCCTTAAAATTTACCTTAGTGCTAATGTAGACTTAGTCTGATTATCTTATTTTTATTCAGCGAATTATGAGACATCGAGAGAAATTTCTTAACGGTTCGAATTTTTCACTCCGCTTTAAGTTCATGCAATTCCTTCATAAAATAATATGACTAGAAATTACCGCATAAATTAGTTTAGAAAATATTATTAATTACACTTTTATTTACTTTAATGACATAGAAATTTCGAATGATGGTGCAACAATTGTCTGCTTTGAAAACAATTCGCTTTTAAAGTCGCCAGCGTTCCGACTTTTGGAGCCGCGCCAGCAGCCAGGCATGCTGACTCAGATGTGACTCAATATGACTTGAGTCACATCTGAGACTTGATTTATTCACATCTGAGACTTGATTTATTCACATCTGAGACTTGATTTACCTTACATACTCACTTGACTCACTTTACGTAAGATAATCTGTTATAAAATGCGTAGGAGCAAACTAGTTATTTTCAGCTGCTTCTCCCTCCTATATCTAGAACAATTTATTTAAATTTTTAATATAAATCAAAATAATATATATTCAAAACTCGTTCGAAAATGCCTTAATCTGGAAGAATTCAAACTTTATTTTTTATAAATATTTTTACAATGATTATTTAAATTATCAATATAAATCAAAATAATTTCTATTCAAAACTCGTTGCTCGAAAATACCTCAATCTGGAAGAAATTGAACTTTCGTTCTTAAATATGATAATAAAATGATTCTTATTAAAAATTATTTACTCGAAATCACTTAAAATGCTTGTATTATTTTTTCCACTCCAATTTCTCTAAGTTTGCCCTCAATTTCGTTGTGTGGGCTTTATTGTCTTGTTTGGTTGAAGGTTTTACCGAATAAAAAGCCCACAGAACCAATTTGATATCTTGAAATAATTACTTTCTATTTTCTGTCATGTAAACAAACAGATGTTTCATCATTACATATTCAACGTAATGATGAAACAAGTAGTCAATGTAAAGCTTTCAACTAATTTATCTCTGTTCTATAATTTATTATTGACGTTACGTGCAACGTTAGTTGGATTTTATTTAAGATATAAAATTCAATAGAATGCTAATACCGCGGATCACCGTATACGTACGGTCACGGTATACTTACGTTACGACCACCATATACTTACGACCACCGTATACTTACGACCACCATATACTTACTACCACCGTATACTTACGACCACCGTACGTATACTTACGACCACCGTATACTTACTACCACCGTATACTTACGACCACCGTATACTTACTACCACCGTATTTAAGTTTCCGAGGCCACGTCTGGTGGCCCCAGATGTGTTGTGTGCCTCGCAGCCATTATATTAAATGGGACGAGTCATCGGCTGGCCCTCCATTACTTTGTACGAGCCTCCACCCGTTACTCATTCACCCTTCACCCGTTACTCCATCACCCCTAACCCGTTACTCAATCACCCTTCACCCGTTACTCTATCACCCTTCACCCGTTACTCAATCACCTCTCACCAGTTAGTCAATCACCCTTCACCCGTTACTAGATCACTCTTCACCCGTTACTCAATCACCGATCACCCGTTAGGAAATCACCCTTCACCCGTTATTCAATCACCATCCACCCGTAACTCAATCACCTCTCATCCGTTACTCAATCACCCTTCACCCGTTACTCATTCAACCTTCAACCATTACTCAATCACCCTTCACCCGTTACTCAATCATCCTTCACCAGTTACTCAATCACCTTTCACCCGTTACTCAATCACACTCCTCCCGTTACTCAATCACCCTCCACCCGTTACTCATTCAACCTTCATTCATTACTCAATCACTCTTCACCAGTTACTCAATCACCCTTCACCCGTTACTCATTCAACTTTCATCCATTACTCACTCACCCTTCACCATTACTCAATCACCCTACACCCATTACTCTATCACCTTTCACCCATTTTTTTTCGACCACTCGCAGTGGTCGACTAGTGGTCGACCAATCACTCTTCACGCGTTACTCAATCACCCTTCATTCGTTACTCAATCACCCCTCACCCGTCACTCCACCACCCTTCATCCATTCAGTCACCTTTCATCCATTCGTCAATCACTCTTCACCCATTAAGTAATATGGAGTAATAGTACAATAGTACGCAATAGTTTTGCACAATCACCCAATACTCATTTACATATTACTAATTCACCTATTACTCAATCACCCATTCCTCACGAGGGTCTTCTCCGTTCTCACCCATTATTCACCCCGGCCCCTCACCCATTAAAGGAAAACATGTGCCGCCGGAAGCGAACAACGATGTCGACAATACCTCGGCTTAGATCATCTCTGATACCGGCAATCTGCGGGCCCTGATACCGGCAATCTGAGGGCCCTGATACCGGCAATCTGAGGACCTCGATACCGTCAATCTGTGGGTTCTGAATACCGGCAACCTGCGGGCCCTGATACCGGCAATCTGAGGGCCCTGATACCGGCAATCTGAGGACCTCGATACCGTCAATCTGTGGGTTCTGATATCGGCAATCTGGAGGCCCTAATAACAGCAATCCAAGGGCTCTGATGCTGGCAATCCGAGGGCACTCGTGAATATGCAATCACCAGATTTATGTCCTGCTCTCCCTCACGACGTCTTTACGTCCGAGGGGAGAATCTCGCGTCCGACCCTCGGAACTATTTACATTCTCCGTGAATTGTGCCGCAATTCAGCTTATTGTGCAATTTTATATAATTCCGTGGTTTGTAAGTCTGTACGGCGTTCAAACAATTCTAGAACCACGAAATCTCAATTCTTAATTTTTAAATTCTCCTCTAAATAGTTTCAATAATTGTTTCAAACAAATAATATCATTATACAAGACCTGATGATTCAGCTTATCACATAACCATTGATGATTTACATGTTGAGAATGAATGGACGATTTATATTAAATCTTTCGATATCCACCGGGCTGCATTAGATGATGTAAATTTGGACACGTAAAGAAATTCTCAAATTACAATTTACGCAGTTAAATAGATTATCAGCATGACCTTGGAATTATCAACACGACCTTGAAATTATCGGCATGACATTGAAATTATCAGCATGGAATTTAAATTATCAGAAAGAAATTTGAATTATCATCATGACTTTGAAATTATCAGCATGATACTTGCTTGAATTCGAACCTTTCTTGCTGTTTACTTATGCTCTAACTTAATAAGATTTCTGCGATAAATGTCAAAAGGTGAAAATATTTACGAAAACTGGCGGACGATCAGAACTTGAATTTTAATGATCTATTTTACTGAATAGATGCCGGGGAAATAATTAGACATAATCTCCAGTGAAGTAGCGATTCGTTGACAATTCGCTCGCCTACAGCACTCTTGCTGGCTTAGAGATGGACACAAATTAAGAATGCAATCTACACTCACAAAAACGAATGGGAATTACTGTCCAAATAATGACTAAGACTAGCAGCGCCCTCATGCTGTGCCATAGTGTGTCAGGTCTGATGTCGTGAGTGAGAAACGGATCGTATTTTTTCATAGATCAATTGAAGTGCCAAGCGATAAGTAATTGGCTTTCTCACTGAATAAACTATTTATAAATTTACTCATCAAAATTTATATTCCTCGCCTGTTCACGAACGATTTCAGATAATGAATTCAAATTATATTTTGGTCTTTAATTAAAGCGGCACAAATGTTCAGATCATGCTTGAGCTCTCATTTTTTTCGACTTCAAGAACTCGAATCCTTGTAATAATTTATTAAAAAATTATCTAAAACAATAAAAATTTGATAAGTACGCAATGCTACGTAACCTAGATTTAATTTGTAATTTGATTTCACCGCCACAACTTTCACCGTCGTGCGACCGGCGCAGATGCCGAATTGATACAACGCAACAATTAATTTTTAGGGTATCCAAAATAACATGCCATTATTTTACAAGAGTCGGAGTCGTGCTATCTAAAGTATTCGAATTTCCAAATCCATCATCCAATCACTGACTTTTCCAAGCTAAACAAATTCTTCACAGACGGGAAATAGCCGCTACACAGACCTAGTCAGCTAGATATAGTTAGATCGCTACGCGTAATTAAGCAGATTTTTGTAATCCAACCCTTCCACTGTATATTGTAGGAGCTAAATTTTCACTGTAAATACTCTAATAATCCGTAGCTATCATATCACAAATAACTGATCGACATTTTCTTCAAAATTCAAACATTTGAGGAAAAATCTACCATTATCGGCAATATTCTTAACGGTCCAAGCACTGGATGTTTCATCAAAATCAACCTTCAATTATAGATGGAATTATCAGAAATAAAAGTCAATATTAAATTTATTTATTTATTTGGTTAATTTACTTAATCTACGTGTACAATATAAGCTGCACCATCAGGACACACCGAGATTGATATACTTGATGGTCAAGAGAATCCTGCACAAGTGCATTTTATAGAAATAAAACATTTATAATACTAATGTAAGTCTAAGGCTAAAATCATTCGGATGTTAATTCAAATTTCTAACCGAAAAACGAGCATAACTACAAAGTATATTACGCCTTAAATGAAGATTTAAAAATTAAGTTGAATTAATTTAGTAACTGAGCTTTAACATAACATGACAAAACCTATGTTGAATTCAAGGGATAAAAAATTTTAAAACTCCATGCGGCCTCATTAATGCCGTCTGTTGTTCGTTTAACGCTAGAAGCCGAACTAACGATTAGTTGCGGACAAATAATCCTAGTGTGCATTAAATTCATCAGGAACCTTTCATTGAAACCATTCATTCATCAGTACGACTCTCTCGTTCATCGCCAGGACACACGTTTTCATTTCCAAGGTTCTCTAATCCATCTGTTTTTCATTCATCGCTACTATGACTAATACATCACTTCGTCTATAAGGTTCTGTGATTCATAACTACGATTCACTAATTCATAAAAAAGGTTCATTCATCACCGCGGTCCACTCGTTCATCACTAAGTTTCAGGTATGGTGCCACCACGTTCATCACTATGACTGGTGTATGGCGCCACGTACTCGTTCATCACTAAGGAATGGTTCCACCACGTTCATCACTACGACTGGTGTATGGCGCCACGTACTCGTTCATCACTAAGGTATGGCGCTGCCACGCTACAGTCGCTCAGGTAGAAGGGTTCGTCCAGTGATGATCTGAACTCCGCCATGGACTTTGGTTCGGTTTGCTGTCGTGTAGAATTGGTTGGGTTGAAAACCTCCGTGCGTTTTGTACCAATTTCCGTATCATTTCTCTTATAGAACTGTGATGAATCGTCTTGTGTTACTAGAAAACGTCGAGCGAATAACACATCATGGGACTTGTTTGTTCCGGTCTCAGGGACCTGGTCGGTGCCAGCATGAGGGACTGACATCAATGGTAAAAGCGAAGCCGCACCCAACATGTTCCCAAGTACCGACTGAGATGGCGGTGCAGGAGCAATAGCATTGGAAACATCAGGAGTTGCGTCAAAAACTGCATTTGTATCCGAAAATAGGTCGAGAGAAATAGGCACCGCTAGTTGCGGTGCTTCCTCAGTTGTTAGTGGTATTACCGACTCAGGGGTTGGCAGTCGATAATAATACTCCACGTCCACATTCGATGAATCTGTGGGTAAGCCTGATGGAATTGATTCTTCTGCATTAACGGTGATATCAGAAGTACCATCTTTGCTTGTGGAGTCAGGAAATGATGAATTAATTAGCGAAAGCCTTGCCATTTCAAAAGTTGCCGAATCATTTTTATTTCCGATTTCGTCAGTCATTCCAGTTGTCGAGGGAACAATTGTTGGAGAAACAAATAATGACCGCCTTTGGAAAGAATCCATTATACCTTCAGGTTTTCTGGAAGGGTCGAAAGCAGAAAACTGACGTGATTGACTGGAATGAGCGGCTGCGGCTTGGGACGATTGAACAGAGGTCAGCTCGCTGGATTCCGTATCCCTGGTTTGATCGAACTCCGATGACTCGTCTTGCGTTACCAGAAAACGTCGAACGAACAAGACGTCACGGGACTTGTTATTACTGGTCTCGGGTACCTGGTCGTTTCTAGTACGAGAGACCGACTGGAAAGGTAAAATCAAAGCAGCAGTCAATAAGTTTTTTAGAAGCGATTGAGATTGCGGTTTCTGTGTGGAAAACTTACCGTTGGAAACGTCAGGAGTCTCATCAAAATCTTCATTTGTATCCGAAAAAAGGTTCAGGGATAACGGCTCCGCCACTATTGGGGCTTTCTCAGTGGTTAGGGAAACCGACTCAGAGGTAGTCAAACGATAATATTCATTGATTTCAACATTTGATGAATCAATCGGAATTCCTGATGGAGGGAATTCTGGGGCATCGATGGTGACATCAGAATTTACAGCTTTGATGGTGGATTCGGAGTTAGATAAATTCAGCATCGAAGGTCTTGATATTTCAAAATTCGAAGAAGAATTTTCATTTATAAATTCTTCAATCACTCCAGTATTTTCGGGAATAAATAATGAACTATTTCTGAGAGAATCTATACTTTCGGATTTTATGGAAGGGTGGATCGCTGGTGGCTGAAGCAATTGGCTGGCGAAGGCGTCGACAGCTGTGGACGATTCAACGGTGGTCGACTCGCTTGCAAGAGCTGTGGCATCGAACGATTCAACAGTGGTCGACTCGCTGGCATGAGCAACATCGGCTGTGGACGATTCAACAGTAGTCGACTCGCTGGCATGAGCAACATCGGCTGTGGACGATTCAACAGTGGTCGACTCGCTGGCATGTGCGACATCGGATGTGGACGATTCAACAGTCGTCGACTCGCTGGCATGAGCGACATCGGCTGAGGAAGATTCAACAGTGGTCGACTCGCCAGCATGTGCGACATCGGCTGTAGACGATTCAACAGTAGGCGACACGCTGACATGTGCGGAATCGGCTGTGGACGATTCAACAGTGGTCGACTCGCACGGCATTGAACGATTCAACAGTGGTCGACTCGCTGGCATGATCGCCGGCATTGAACGATTCAACAGTGGTCGACTCGCTGGCAAGAGCTGTGGTTTCGAACGATTCAACAGTGGTCGACTCATTGGCATGAGCGACATCGGCTGTGGACGATTCAACAGTGGTCGACTCGCTGGCATGAGCAACATCGGCATTGAACGATTCAACAGTGGTCGATTCGCTGGCATGTGCGACATCGGCTGTGGACAATTCAACAGTGGTCGACTCGCTGGCATGAGCAACATCGGCTGTGGACGATTCAACGGTGGTCGACTCGCTGGCAAGAGCGGCAGCATTGAACGATTCAACAGTGGTCGATTCGCTGGCACGAGCGGCGGCATTGAGCGATTCAACAGTGGTCGACTCGCTGGCAGGGCGACATCGGCTGTGGACGATTCAACAGTGGTCGACTCGCTGGCATGAGAGCGGCGGCATTGAGCGATTCAACAGTGGTCGACTCGCTGGCAAGAGCGACATCGGCTGTGGACGATTCAACAGTGGTCGACTCGCTGGCATGAGCAACACCGGCTGTGAACGATTCATCAGTGGTCGACTCGCTGGCATGAGCAACATCGGCTGTGTACGATTTAACAGTGGTCGACTCGCTGGCAAGAGCAGCAGCATTGAACGATTCAACAGCGGTCGACTCGCTGGCAAGAGCAGCAGCATTGAACGATTCAACAGTGGTCGACTCACTGGCACGAGCAAAATCGGCTGTGGACAATTCAACAGTGGTCGACTCGCTGGCATGAGCGGCATCGGCTGTGGACAATTCAACAGTGGTCGACTCGCTGGCATGAGCGATATCGGCTGTAGACGATTCAACAGTGGTCGACTCGCTGGCAAGAGCTGGTGCATTGAATGATTCAGCAGTGGTTGACTCGATGGCAGGAACGACTTCGGCTGTGGACGATTCAACAGTGGTCGACTCGCTGGCAGGAGCGACATCGGCTTTGAACGATTCAACAGTGGTCGACTCGCTGGCATGAGCGACATCGGCTTTGAACGATTCAACAGTGGTCGGCTTGCTGCCTAGAGCGGCAGCATTTAACGATTCAACAGTGGGTGACTCGCTGACAAGAGCTGTGGCATTGAACGATTCAACAGTGGTCGACTCGCTGGCATGAGCGACATCGGCTTTGGACGATTCAACATATGTCGACTCCCTGGAGAAAGCAGCGGCAGTGGCCTTGAACGATTCGATAGTTGTCGACTCGCCGACATGAGTGGTGGCTGGGGACAATTCAACATTGGTCGAAGACTTCAATTCGAGAACAGCAACAGAGGTAGACGCTTCGACTGTCACGGATGGAGTAGCGCTCATCGATGAAGTAGCGCTCATCGATGTAGTGGTCGTTCTTCCGTTACTATTGCGATGGTCATCCGCGTATTTCGTGTCAATTGCAGGAGGTGAAGTTTGTTCATATCGTGGTGGAGTTCTCAAGGTTGACTGTGAATAGAAATTCAGTGAACTGCCAACAGTCTGGTGGTTTTCCCTCTGTTCTCCTGAAATCGAAGATTGTAGGTTATATCTACCGATGCCGGTTGGTTGCTTAGAAACATCACCAGAATTCAGCCACTTTGACATGGCGATTGAGAAGGGGTCATATATGTGTCGGTTGAGATCAAATTCCAATGAATTAGTGTTAATAAAACCTATCGATTGATCATTAGCGAACGATTTAGATTTTTCCGTTGATGCGTATAATTCGTGTCCCTGACGAGAAACTAGCTCGTATTTTCTGAGGCTTTTCCTCATATTCTTGCCAGCAGGAGCAGGACGATAACCCTTCCGATACAGGTTCCTTTGGTCGTGAACGTTCACTACCTCTCGCTCCCCAGTAAGATACCTGCGGTTCTGGTCGTGAATGTTCACTCCCGTGCGCTCCTCAGGCCGGTACCTTCTGTTCTGGTCGTGAATGCTCGTTCCCTGAGGCTCCAAATGCGGATACTTGCTGTTCTGGTCGTAAATATTCATTCCCTGACGCTCCGCAGTCCAAAACCTGCTGTTCTGGTCGTGAATGTTCACTCCCTGACGCTCCTCTGTCCGATACCTGCTGTTCTGGTCGTGAATGTTTACTCCCGGGCGGTCCTCATGCCGATAACTTCTGTTGTGGTCGTGAATGCTCGTTCCCTGAGGCTTCATAGGCTGATACTTGCTGTTCTGGTGGTAAATATTCGTTCTCTGTCGCTCCACAGTCTGATACCTGCTGCTCTGGTCGTAACTATTTGTTCCTTTTCGCTCCTCAGTCCGATACCTGCTGTTCTGGTCGTAACTATTCGTTTTCTGTCGCTCCTCAGTCCGATACCTGCTGTTCTGGTCGTAACTATTCGTTCTCTGTCGCTCCTCAGTCCGATACCTGCTGTTCTGGTCGTAACTATTTGTTCCCTGTCGCTCCTCAGTATGATACCTGCTGTTCTGGTCGTAAATATTTGTTCCCAGTCGCTCCTCAGTTCCATACCTGCTGTTCCTATCGTAACTACTCGTTACCTGATGCTCCACAGGCCCATACCTGCTGTTCTGGTCGTAACTATTCGTTCCCTGTTGCTCCACTGTCCGATAGCTGCTGTTCTGGCCGTAACCATTCGTTACCTGTTGCTCCACAGGCCGATGCCTGCTGTTCTGGCCGTAAATATTCGTTCCCTGGCGCTTCACAGACCAATGCCTGCTGTCCTGGTCATAAATATTCGTTTCCTGGTGCTCCACAGGCCGGTACCTGCTGTTCTGGTTATAAATATTCTTTCCCGGGAGGTTCACAGTCTGATAGCTGCTATTCTGGTCGTGAATATTCGTTTTTCGACCCTCGTAAGTCCGATGCATGTCATTCGGATCGTGAGGGCTCATTCTTCTGTAGTTATTTTCCTCGTGCATGGCATCTGACTCCTGAATGTGGCTCCCCTTGTAGTGCCAATTCGGGTAAATGGCACTTGAGCCATGAATACTGCTTCTCTGGTAATCTTCGTAATTGTAAGTTGCATTGGAGTTGTTAAGGCTATTTTCCTGGTAGTGCCCATTCGGTCCGTGAATGCCGTTCCTCTGGTAGTGCCCATTCGGTCCGTGAATGCCGTTCCTCTGGTAGTGCCCATTCGGTCCGTGAATGCCGTTTCTCTGGTAGTGCCCATTCGATTCGTGAATGCCGTTTCTCTGGTAGTGCCCATTCGATTCGTGAATGCCGTTTCTCTGGTAGTGTCCATTCAATTCGTGAATGCCGTTCCTCTGGTAGTGTCCATTCAATTCGTGAATGCCGTTCCTCTGGTAGTGTCCATCCGATTCGTGAATACCGTTCCTCTGGTAGTGTCCATCCGATTCGTGAATACCGTTCCCCTGGTAGTGTCCATCCGATTCGTGAATACCGTTCCTCTGGTAGTGTCCATTCGATTCGTAAATACCGTTCCTCTGGTAGTGATCATTCGGGTCGTGAATGTCGTTCCTCTGGTAGGGCCCATTCGGGTCGTGAATGTCGTTCCTCTGGTAAGGCCCATTCGGGTCGTGAATGCCGCTTCTCTGGTAGTGCCCATTCGGGTCGTGAATACCGTCTCTCTGGTAGTGCCCATTCGAATCATGAATGTCGTTCCTCTGGTAGTGCCCATTCGGGTCGTGAATGCCGCTTCTCTGGTAGAACGCATTCTGACGTATGCCAATCTGGTGCTGAATGTCGGCTAGTCGACGTTCATTCTGGTACACGTTATTTTGATCGAAAAATGTCGTCTTGTCATCGGCAGAGCTGATAGATTCTTCGATCATTCCAACAGATTCTCTTTGCGATGCAGAATCCGGCGCCCATGATAACCCTTCTGCTAGGAACACTTCCCTTTTCAACCTTTGACCAGAAATCTCTTCTTTCTTCACTTTCTCTTGGCCGGAAATCTCTCGACTTTTCACGCCATCTGGGCCGGAAATTTCTCGACTCTTCACTCCATCTGGGCCGGAAATTTCTTGACTCTTCACCCCTTCTGGGCCGAAAATTTCTCGACTCTTCACCCCATCTGGGCTCGAAATCTCTTCGCTCTTCACTCTACCTTGATTAGAAGTCTCTTCCCACTTAACCCTTCCTTGACTTAAAATATCTCGACTCGTCCACTTTTGTCCACCAGAATGAACTAGAGGTAGGGGCAGCGATGAACAAAAGCGTAGGAAGTACACAAGTAGGATTACTACTTGCATTTTCAGCTTAACTCGTCCCAGTTTCAGGCTGAAAATGTAAAATGAACGCCAATGAATTTAAGACGAATGGTATAGAACACATATGGTCAGTTATTCAGTATGCGTATAAATTAAAGAAAATTATTTCTACCTTATATCTAACTAGAGCCTTAATGATTAAAGCTTGAGTATTCATTCCGATTAATTGCATTTGGCAATGAAGTCGAAAGATATTATTTGTCAATATTTTGAATAATGAACTCACCCAAGTCGTGATCAGCTCCGAGTCCAGACTCAAAATATTTTTCAGATGCTCAATATTTTGTATAAAATGAATTTGTCAGTCTTATTTAGTTACAAGACTATTCGCATCTGTGGGAATTGGGAAATGGGAATTGGTCATTATTCGTTAAACTTGCATAGGGTCCAATCACATTGAATACACTGAGACAGGGTCCAATCACCTTCACTACAATGAGATAAGATCCAATCACTTTCGCTGCACCGAGATAAGATCCAATCACTGTCGCTACACCGAAATAAGATCCACTCACTGTCGCTACACCGAGATAAGATCCAATCACTTTCGCAACACCGAGATAAGATCCAATCACTGTCGCAACACCGAGATAAGATCCAATCACTGTCGCTACACCGAGATAAGATCCAATCACTTTCGCTACACCGAGATAAGATCCAATCACTTTCGCTACACCGCGATCAGATCCAATCGTTTTCCCTACACTGACATAGGGTGCAATCACATTCCTTACACCGAGATAAGATCCAATCACTTCCCTACACTGACATAAGATCCAATTACTTTCCCCACAGTGAAGTAAAATTAAATCACATTCCCTACAATGAGATAAGATCCAATCACTTTCCCTACACTGAGATAAGATCCAATCACTTTCCCTGCACCGAGATAAAATCCAATCATTTTCCCTGCACTGACATAGGGTGCAATCACATTCCTTACTATGTGATAAGGTACAATCACTTTTGATATACTGTGCTAGGGTCCAAAATCATGCCTTCACTAACTCGTGGTTCATTCTTGCTCCTTACACTGACGTATGGTCCAATCACACTCCCTACACTGTGTTAGGTAGGGTCCAATCACATTCCTTACACTGACACCAGATGACAGTCAGCAGTGAATACACTGAAAGAGATGACCGCAGACATTTTTGGTAACCAAATAATTCTCGAAAATTTCCGAAAAAAATCACCTAAGACATTCTATAAAATCAAGCTTATTGTTTTTTTTTTCAAACAAGGTACAATAGCTTAAGAAAAATTAATAAACAGGATGCATTAATATAAAAATTACACAATAAAAATAAAAATTTGATAACCTTTTTTCTCACTGGTGCTGAAGCTGAATATCGGCAATCCTCGCGATATCCTCCCACAGATCGCCTGGAAATCGCAAAGCTTGCAAAAACCCAAGCCCCCTCCCCCAGCCCCCCCACCCCCCCGACAGCTATAAACCCTCATCCGTCTTTTGTTCTATCGCAGTCACGTCGCCATGGAAATGTTCTCAGAAGAGCAATTCTTTGTTCGATGCTCACTGCCTTGCAGATTTGGCGTCGTGGCCGTAAATCTACGGGCCTATCGCGCCAGTCATCAGCAAAAACCCTGGCAAAAAAAAGACCAGGGGAAGAATTGAAGTCATTTCTCTAGGAAGGGGAGCGCTACATTCGTAGATGCGTGTCCGAATAACACAAGTTGACTACAATCAATGTTGCGGGAAATTAATTTTGGTTTATAGAAATGTGCTGGAAGTATAAGAGATTGCGGAATTGTACATCGGGAGTAAGAAAATGGAAAGTTATTTTTTGGAATTTCCTGAATATATGAATATATTTTGAAATATTAGAACGAATATTAATGAATTAAATTATGTGAATTAACGGATGGTTTTAATAGCAACGAGGCGAGCAAGATTATTTCAATTATTATATACAGAATTCAGCTAGATTATATATATCGGACATGGCAAACGTACGTATGTAAATTGCACGACTTGTAAAGGCATTTAAATGTAAAGTAAGTTGTTGATGAACTATGAATTATTGAATGACTCTTCAGTATGAAAAATGTCACCATTCAATTTAGATACTCGTACATTCGGAGATAGCGCATGTTTACTTAAATTCCTAACGTGCCAGATGAATAACCGACATACTTGTGCTTGCATTTATCTCCGTATATTTTTGAAGATGAAAATGTCCGAGCTAATTGGACAATTATTTATCGATTAACACAAAATTCGGCTGCTAAAGGGGACCTTAGTAAATAAAGTTAATGTGAATAGACTTTCAAGAATTATAATTATTACACTGGACCCTACGTCTTAAAATGCAACGTAATGCTTACTTGCAAATAACGTACGCACAAGCAGCCTTTCAAGGTGCAGATCTAGAATAAAATCATTAAACTTAATCTGAAATGATGATTACTGGGAATTTTCTAGTGGTGCTAGGATCTAGGTGCTCAGTATCCTGGGGAATTTTCTGATGGATATCGATATCAGTAAACGAAAGACTGGTTCATCACCCTGTTGTTGGGTATTGCCAAAACACTATTGCTAAAACACTATTGCTAAAACACTATTGCTAAAACCGTATTGCTAAAAACCATATCCGTAACCACCTCCAAGTCCTAACGTAACAATAATAAAATACCGACAGGAGACGTACAAATTAATTTCATTTCAATACGGTTAGTCAACCAATCTGTATAGTTAACTCTACTGTATAGTCAAACAAATATTCAAATAGCGACACTATTACCCATATCACGAGCAAAGATAGGATGTAGCACTGATACGCATATTTGCAGAGTCAAACTGAATCAGGACGACCCACGCAGGCGTAAAAAGTGCATCGCCAGTTGGTCAAAGTCCCGTTCATTTCCCACACTATAGAATCTGACGAGGCACATCTAACTAGCGCAGGGAAAAGTAAGTTCCAATTAACTTTAACGGAAGAAAATTGAATATGAATTGATAGGGTAACGACATTCATCTTTTAGGTCTATGACCTAATTAACACGTATTTAACGAATTTAAGCATTTTTTAACAAACGGGTTTCCGTCGTAATGATGGAATTCATGCCATTCAACAGTACCATACACGAATTCCGTAGCCCACAGAATTTTGTAGCGGAAATTTCAAGTTTACTAACACGTAAAATTATCAACTGAAAATCTCGGAAATAACTTTCATTCCGCAGAAAGGGTCCATTGCAGGCCTAAATTGCATTACTAATAAGAGATCTAAAATCCTGACTAGGATAGAGTGAGATACATAAGAATTAACGAATGAATAATCAAACCTTAGTCATCAGTCATATAAATAAAAGAGACATAACAATTAATGAAGAAATAATTTAATCTTGGTTAACAGTTATTTTCTAACACCAAGTTACACGCAAGAACTTCTTACGCCGCTGCTTCCACTCCAGCCGGTGCGGTAACCTAGACATTTCAGGTACAGATCTTGCCATTGCCGCTGCACTACACACCAAAAGTTAACCGAATAGCATCCCACATCATCCCAAATATGTATAAATGTTAAAATTATTAAATAAAATTATTTTATAGCGTCACAGCGACCCAATATTTGCTGGGACAGCAGGCAGAGCCAGCACCTCCTGTCGCGCGTAATAATATGTAAATAACTACGCTAGAAGTTGCTACCGCAGCCTGTGTGATGGTAACTCTAGAATGAAAATACAATTTCAAAAAATTATTAGCGTGTCTCTATATTTAAGGAGTTTGAATTTACGTATTAACTATTAAAATTGTGTAAAATATTAAATTCGAACAAATTGTTAAATTCAAATTTACATGTTAGCTAATTGAACTGTGTATATCAGGGTTTTAAATTCTAAATAATCATTAAATGTAAATCATGATTTACATTAAGATATGTAAATCATTACATATCTCAATCAGACTACATTACAATATTCATGCCCAAAGTTTCTATGCATTCAGTCTTCAATTTAAGATTGTTTGGTAAAAGATTTTCAAAAATTTGCTGAATGGCCATAAGGTATTCAATATCTCTGATGAGAGTAGGATATTTGATATCTCACTTTAATACTTAAATGTACTTAAATTTTTAAAGTAAGTGCATTTGCTTAGAATTACCACTTTAGTTTACCTAATTAATTTACTTAATTTTATGAAATTCAATATCTCTGATTCGAGTAAATTGCGTGATATTCGCCAAACCTACGGTGATCGTACGTCACAAGGCTACGAACGCACTGTTTAAATTTTAAGTAAAAGGCGTAGACTTTATTCCGTCACAATGCTGTGTGGTATTACAATATTATCTTTGAAAAATAACCCCAAACTCAGTGTTGATGCTGTTCCATTTATGTATAATGTATATACCCAAAACTGAGAAAAGTTGTATTCCAAATTCAGGATGGATTGTTCTTGCCCATATGTGTTCATTGTGGATGGTTCTCGCAGATAGGTTTTCAGTGTGGAGGGTCGTCGCCCATAATTTCTCACGTCTCGGACAATTTTACGATCGGACTTGCTGCCGGTCTCGCGGCCGGTCTCACAGCCAAACTGAAAATTCAGTGAACAAGGAATATCTCCCAAAGTAATAAACGCAGCTCGATGAAACTTGGCACACGTATCTATTAAGACCTAACGGTGATGTTTAGCTCGTGAAAATTTTTAGATTTCGCCTTCATTCGAGAGTTATACGGATATACGGAGAAACGACCGGCTACCCTCAGGCCGATTTTTAAATTTGCATTGACAAAGACTCTTATACGTAAAGCCGAATATCTCGCAATCGAAGGCAAAATCAAAAAAATTGTCATGAGCTAAACATCACTGTTGGGAGGTTAGGTGTTCATATACGAAGTTTCGTTCAAATTTGTGCAGTATTTTGGAAGCAATTTCTTGTTCGCTGCGAACTTAAGCACGTATTGCTGCTGAAGTCACGAATGAGGGAAAATTAAAAAAACTCGCGAACGAAGGCCAAATCTGAAAACATTTCACGAGCTAAACATCACCGTTGGATAGTTAGGAATGTATATTCAAAATTTCGTGCAAATCTGTTCAGTATGTTGGGAGAAATTTCTTGCTCACTGCAAATTTCGGTACGTATCGCCTAATAACTCACGAATGAAGGCGATATTCCAAAATTTTTCACGAGCTAAACATCACCGTAGGTCCTAATGAATACGACCAAGTTTCAACGAGTTACGTTATTTACTTTTAAATATATTGATTGTTCACTGAATTTGGGGAGACCGGCCGCGAGTCCGGCCGTAAAATTGTCCCAGAAGTTAAGTTCTCTGTATGTGTGGTTCTCGCCCA